GTATAATATACATTATAGTCTAATGTATATTATAAAATATTATAATATACATTATAATATAATAAAATAAATTAATAGTGGCCCATTACGTTCTGGTCTGGTTCATGGTTCACCAGAACAGCAGCTGCACCTCCGGCGCCAAAGCCTGCACCGCAGCGTTCAGCTGCTCCGCCTGCAGCCGCTGGGTGTCCACACCATCGCCTGGCCGGCGCTGCAGACGAACGGCTACTGGGCTCATTCCGAGGAGCTGCTGCCGCTGAATACAGCTTTAGCTTGCAGCTTTGTGTTGTTTCCATCTTTAACCAAAATTCTTCTCTAAGGTATGGTTTTATAGTCATTTATAGTCCCTATCAGTCATACAACATTACAGCTCACTTCAGAAATATTGTCGATATAGGTGCCGCTACTATCGACAGGCCCGAAAGTGGTTCTTTAGTAAATGGGTTCCCTCCCATCTGTTGTTGATTTTTGCTCAAGAAGCTCTTCAGATTTTACATTGTTTATTATCAGCGCCACTTTGTATCCTATTCCAATGTAATTTTGTGATTGTCGATTCAGCCTATCGCGCATATGTGCGACAAGCGTGTCATCAGTAACGATTCTGTGGGCTGGCTTCTTTCCACTTTCAAATCGCGTGTCCATGACATTACTTAAAGTACGTGGCATATTAATATCCTGTGTTTTTCTTTGTGTTGTGTATCCGTGTACATGCTGACGAACGTCTAGGAATAACACAGCAATGTGGAATAACCTGATAGGTATAATACAGTTTTTTAGGAAATGCTGCGTGGGAAGGATCAAGCCCGAAAACTTGCCTTGTTTTCTTAAAACTCATCGGACTCCGCCTCTTTTACCTCAAGAAACGTTTTAGAATTTAAAAACTGGACTTGTAGAAGTTTTGGAAGGTAAAAAGACCAATTTCTTAAAATTACAGAACTTCTTTTTTCATTTTTAATTAATTTCTTAAAATTGCACTGTTTGCCTGAATTTTTTCGCTTTTGAGACATGGCCCGGTCCCTTTTCAATTTTTGAGAGAGTTGTGAGCTTTTTCTAGTTAAAAATTAACATTCTTGAAATGCATAGAAATAATTGACTTTAAAATTAGTATTGGTACCACATTTTCTGTATTGTTCGTACAGTTATGGTCGGAGATAAATGGAAGATTATATGGGATTTGCTACAAACGCTCTGCGCGCCGTGCGCAGGCCGTGCGCCGATCCCTTGCGGAGCGCTGCTCACCAAAATATTAGTATTTAGACAATGCTGCACGGCCTCTCAGTAGGGTGCACTCGGAACTGCGCCATTTGCGACGCTAGGAATGCAGCTTCCCATTTAGTTCGGGGGGGGGGGGGGCTTCAGCCACCAACATGGGTTTCAGCCTCCCCTCAACTTTGGGAAGAAAGTGGGCAGAATCCGAGGAGAAACCTACTTGTTGGCATATTGTTGCTGCAGATTGCGTCATTTTTCCTTGTTTAGCCCATCCCTCACCAACTAACTTCGCAAAACTACGCCCCTGTTTGAAGGTCACGACATCTGTGCCACCTTTGGTCCCTATGGCATGCACAATTTGGCACTGATATCTTTGGCCTGGGAGGCGCGTGGGTGCCCGTGCAATATATTTGTAGCTCCTTTTGCTACTGACATCAGTTTGCGCCACGTTCGATCCCGGATTCGAACAGAAAGCGGGTTTCAAATTGGCTTCTAGTAATACGCAATTCATAGAACCATTACCAATTCTAGCGAGCCGCGAAAAGGAGTCGGATTTGCATGTAAACGAGCGGCACCGGCAGACATCGGACGCTATGGTGACGTCACAGTTTTCACGCGCTGCTAGAGGGCGGGGGGGGGGGGGCACTACTCACCCCTGCTGGTGCCGTTGATGAGCACCACGGGTGTTGAATGACACGTGGGGATGAACGCGTGGGAGCGGTGCGCCATCACGGCATCCCGTGTGTTCTTTTCCGGCTTGAAGACCACCACGTATATCTTGGGGAAGAAGAGGCAGGCCAGTTGCACCAGACCGCTGCAGGGCGTGGCCAGGCGTTACAGGAGTGACTGCGCTACACAGAGCGAGCAGCCGGACAGCGACTGGTCTGAACGGGGACGGCTGAGAGTGACGACCGCAACGCGAGCATCAGGGCGGCGCAAACTGAACGCGAGCTTTCCTGAATCATAATCAAGTCAGCAAGCCTATCGAGTATTGCTAGACCACGGTCAGGGCGCATCTCTCAAACATCGACTGCTCGGCTCTTGGCCAGAGGAAGGGCGACGTTCGCTTGCTGACCTGAGAGAGAGCGACATAGCCAGCGTGACGGTGCGCAGGGCATGGTCGGTGGCGGCGATGTAGAGCGGCACGAAGGCCAGCCAGAGCACGCAGGTGGTGTAGCTGGTGAAGACGATGTAGCGCGCCTCGTTGAAGCCGCCCGGACACTTGCGCGTCTTGACGGCGTATATTGTGCAGAAGCCGATCAGGATCAGCGGATAGATCAGGCCTGCAGCGGAGCAGTGACTCATCACCTGCTGCTGATGCTCGGTCTGGGCTGCCGACTTAGCAGGACCATAGTGCTGAAGCTGTTGTCTTCTCGATCACTCGGAGATTTTCAAGTCTTGATCAGCATTCTGGAAGCCGTTTACTTGGGTCCACAGTGCCTCGTTTACATACTATCCTGTTGATAGCGGTGTCAAAGACGGGCAAACATGTGTTTAATCATGCACGCCAAACAGCATACGTGAATGCTGTATGGGATGACGTGGCTGGAATAGCAAAGACTTTCGCTGGACGCGCCATCCACGCTAGTCGTCCGCCCTCTTACGGGCCACTCGAAAACAGCATTGCACCACACCGGTACTGACCAACCTCAGCTTTAAGCCTAGCTAGCTTACAACAACAGCACGCAACACTACGCCCTCCCCCCCCCCCCCCTCCCCTCACCGATTAGGTAGGAGCTGTCGTCCAGCCCGTCGCAGATGAGCACGCGCTGCTCCCGCGTCGGCGAGATCACGAGCGTGGCCGGCGGCCGGTACAGCAGCCAGATGGCGTTGACGACCACCTCCACCGACGTCAGGATGGCCGTGATGACCAGCTGCGACTGCGGCGACGTGTAGCGCGTGCGGTGCTTGACCGGCCGCCGCGTGAAGATGCGCGACGTGCGGTTGGTCTTGGTGACGATGGCCGCGTAGCAGACGGTGTAGCAGAGCCCGAGGAAGAAGCGCGTCAGGCCGCATGTGGCGTCCGTGGGGCGGGCCACGATCAGGAAGGTCATGCCGAACGAGAGCAGGTTGCCGACGAGCAGCAGGTAGCTGAGTTCGCGGCCCGAGGCCTTGATGACGGGCGTGGAGGCGTGCGCGGCGAAGATCAGACCGCACAGCACGGTCACCACGATCCCTGCAGGAGGCGCGCTGACATCAGCTGGATGGCAGGGTTCAATCATAGGCCAGGGAATACTTAACATGATGCCAGACGACGAGGGCTGTGTTTCTGGAGGTTGTGTCCATTATGTGCGAGAATTTATGGATGGTTGTGTTGCAAGTGCGGGACCACATGTATCTACTGGGGCGTAGCCGTGTTCAAGATACTCCGCCGACACAGTATCGGCGGTCAGATAACTTTTTGAAATCAGATTATGTTCACCTTAAGTGGACACAGTCAGACTGGTCCACTTCAGAGGGGTTTATTGTCCGTAATTGTTAATGTTTGTAATCGTAACAGCAATAGGGACAGTGTCGTTCATCGGATGACACATAGGTTAAATTTTATTGTGGAGCATATGAAGACAAATTGCTGCACATTACACTCAAATAGCCCACCATAGAGTTCAAAAAGAATATTTCAGCTACATCCGAAAGGAAAAGTTGCCGGCGCATTGGCGAGGGCACCCAGTAGTTTGATCACAAACAAAGGCATTCGTAACGTACACTTCATAGCCAACTGCTGGCGCTTGTTGCAAAGCCTTTGTTGTTTCATCTTCTGCAACGCAGCATCTAGGAAGTGAACTATTCGTCTCGTTTTCCCGAAGAATGCGGCGCATTTGCGCTGATAATATATCATTGTACGCTGACACATTCCTTTATGTATCCACGGTCCCGGCATGCGCTGTCTCAGAGATTCTCATACTTAATCATCGATATGAATTAAAAAATGGCATGCCGCCGACCATGCCTGCTGGCGCGAGACCCTCCGGAAATCTGAAATTTGTTATTTTGCCGTCAGTGATGGGCAAAACATAAACAGAATGCGACCTTTTACGAAACTCAACTCGAGCGCCGAAGGTCGCTTGCTGGTGCCGCGCCATAGGTCACAAAATGCCGTTCCCCCGTCGACCATAACTCAGCGCAGGATTGGGCGCGGCGGACGGCGCAGCGCCGCTCTCGCCTTATCGCCGTCCTAAGGCGACCGGCGGTGCGCCGTTCGGCGACGGGCTTCTCCGCGCGCTGACGCAGCTCGCCGGCCGGCGCGCGAGAGCGCGTGGCGTCCAGCGATCATTACTGGCCGCACGGCGGCGGTGGATCGCAGCTTAAGGAAGTGTTCCACATTTATATGGCGTTTTGAACTGAAATAGTCATACAAGAAGACCTTTCGGTGCTGTGTACAATCCTGCCCTTCTTGAGACCTAAGTCCCGCTAGGTTCTGAGCTACACGCCCACGAAAATGGGGAGAGTATTTCGTGGAGAGTATTTCGACGTCATCTCAGCATTCATGACGTCATCACAGTGCCGTGCAAATCCTGCCATTCCATAAGCCATGCGGCGATCAAGGCCAAGAAAAATACAACTGCTGAGGCTTTCATATCTGGCGTTCGTGAGCACGATTCCAAATATAACAGCCTTCAATTGGTTATCAATCAATGTTGTGCATGATACGATGACGTCATTATATCATAACGCATTGAAGATGATATTACTTAACAAGGAAATCGTGTCGGCTGGAGCAGCAGCCAACTATATTTCTGTATTTATACCACTATATTTGTATTTCTATTAAAAAGTATATCGCTAGTCATAAGTGAGGTTACTTCACCATGTGCCATGCTTGCTTTAATATCTTCGAATGTGGAGCATTCCCTGTGCAGTCGTCTGTGCGGCGCCGTGGGAGCGCCCGACCCCAGTCGGTGGTGATTGTGTAGATTTACTACGGAGAGGGCGCACGTGGTGTAGCTCTGGTGGTGGTCTCCGAAGCATCGGTGTCGCAGGCTATCGAGCGCAGCGGCCGCAGCAGCGGGCTGTGCGAACACAAATGCCAGCATCCAAGGCGGCATATTCGGCATCTTTGGCATCGACGGCATCTTCGGCATCTTCGGCATCGACGACATCTTCGGCATCTCTGGCACCGATGACATCCTCCACCTCCGCATTGATGGAAAATGATCAGGTGCACCACTCATTTGTTGTCTGCACCGATCTCGTCACTGGGGCATTTCCAGGCAAGGGGAAAGTATACTTGTTTTAAAGAGAACGCGACGCACAACGTTACGCCACTGTAATGGAGCGCCAGCGACAGCATGGCCATATAAGTGCTCAGAGACCATGGCGCAACCCGGATTTGAGCTCGGTCCCACACGTGGGTTAGGCCTTCTGAGGATGGTACTCTTGCTTCACGGCACGTGAAAAGTTTGTCACTCAGCCGAGGTCGGCACTTACGCCAAGCTGGATGATGGTACGTCCATTTACACATTCTCTCGCCTTCCTTGTCACTCAACAGTCGCGCCTGAGCGCGTTTTGCCATGACAATCCTTCCACTTTGACCAAAGCCCAGCGCGTGCGAGTGAAGCGCACTGCAGGGAGCGCGCTAACGCGATACACGCCACACTCACCGAACGCCGCGAACGTCATGGCGACCACTGCCCAGGGGCTGGAGTAGTCGACGAAGGTGACCGGCACGATCATGCAGTGGCGCTGGTTGGGCGACGGCAGGAAGCCGGGCTTGCACTCCTCGCAGTCGTAGTCGTCCCGCACCACCTGGTAGCTGCCGCACGTGCGGCATGTCCAGCAGCAGAGGTCGTTCTCCTGCCGGCCGACCGGCCCGGCGTCATGGTCAGCAGTCGGAGTCGGCGCCGGGCGTCAGATGGGAGGCGCTGGACGGCGGCTGCTGGACGGAGGAGCGCCGCAGGGAACGGCCAGGAAAGGGCGTGGTAACGGACGACCGTGAGTCAAAGGAGGCAGGTGAGTCAAAGGAGATTGGAGATGAAGATGTTGAAGCTGTGATGGGAGCTCGTGAAAGATGTCGGTATGGGAGGCAAACTTGGGAAGAAGGTCCACAAACTAAATTGCCTCATGAATGGCATCGTACTGCAAATGCTGGGTGACTTACATCCGGATCACACGTCTAAAAATATGCAGCTAACATCTAAATACCACGTGATTCAACAAGTGCCTTGCTAGAACAAGCGTCTGAAGTAACGCACTGAAACCAAGAACCGCTGGCTATTTTGCGAACTTTTGAACTATCCGCAAAAGAACTTCCTGCAGGTCGCCGGCACGGACCGCTCGACCACGACGCGCGTCTCTCACCTTCTTCACTTTGACCTGGTGCGGCAGGCAGGGGGTGCCGCACTCGGAGGTAGGAAAGTCGCGGCGTCCACCAGCCTTGAACAGGATCTCCTCCCTGCGCAGCACCAGGTTGGAGGATCCGTCCTCCGTCACTGAGCAGCGGAAAGGATAGTAAAAATATACGTAAAAGTACGTGAAAAACAGACAGGGGGCGAGAACACATGTCCGTTATTTCGCGGTGGCGATGCGTCCGGCGAAGCTCAGTTTAGAAGATGGAAAAAACCTACACAGTAAATGTTTAATTGGAAGAAGTTATGAGATCAGTGCTCATGTGCTGGGTTATCAACCTTCAATATACGTGGAGGTACTAGGTAAAGGACGTCATAGAGCAAACAAAGGTGCTGGATAAAAGACGTCATAGAGTAAACACTGGTTCCGTTGTCAGTACTCTTTGTGATGGGTCGTAGTTGGAGTCCAGTGTTTATATCACAAACACTGTGGCTGTATAGTGTAAATCTTAAATTATTTGAGAAAGCTATCATTTGAATGAAAAATGAAATAACCGTGCGGCATTTATTCTGTCTAGCAATTACACATCAACCAGCACGAAATCGAAACAACATGTAATGCCGTTTCATTTTAGCGTGTGCACTGTCTGTCGAACTTCCAACGTGTTTTGTGCGCACTATTGTCGTTTTTGTGGCAAGTTCTTTTGGCATCAGAGTAATCTGATTCATCAGCTGTTCCGTTGAGAGCCTCTCTGAAGAAGAAGTTCAATGCAGTGTGCTAGACCTGGGCGGAGTGGCACCACTTGATCGCAAACAAGCCGTGGCCACCTTCCGTGAATGCGCCCCGGACATGACGCGTCAAGTTCGCTGGCCGGCCCGCAGGTCTCGCTGGGTGCAGAAATCAATACTCGAGGGTGACCAATATCCGGGTGCGTTATTCCACGTGGCACCCGTCCGCCGTACTCCACACGACGCGGGCGCCCTTACGCTCTGCGACCGCACGTGGTCTGTAGCGGGAGATAAGCCTGTATCGCCCTGATAACCTAATATAGCCGACAATCGTCAGTCGCAGAGTGGCGCCGAATCATCGACCCGCTCCGCTCCTTTGCGCTGAGCTTCGGAGCCGTGGTGAGCGGCGCCAGCTAGTGCCACTGGCAGCTCGACGGCTATTGCGCCACTTCACTGCTACTACTTCACTGCTTAACTACTTCACTGCGCGTCCTCTCACACTTGGGATGAGGCAAGTGGAAGTGCGTTTCTCGCGGTAAGGCGGCGGTCTGGCAGTAATTACGTGTCCTCTGCTGCTTTCCACGGATGAAATAGTCTGAGTAAGGCACGAGAGAAAATGAGATGACAAAGAAATTTCATTAGAGAGAAATGAGAAAGCGTAAGGAGGGAAGGAAAGTGGGGAGACAAGAGATAGCGAGAGAAAAGATGTCATGGTAGATACCATAGACGCACGTGATAGAGGGGTGAGAGAAAGAGGGGGAGAGCCATGGTAGATACGGACACGAGTACTGGCCAACGTTCTTCCAGAAGTAGCCTCCTTGCTTGTCACGCTGGAAATTCAAGATCGAGTAGCGTGGAGGACCCTCGCCGCTGCCGTTCAGAAACCGAAACGATTGGTTGTTCTGGTCTGAAAATTCAAAGAATGTTTTCAGTTCCCAGGCTTGCTACCTCATTCTGCACTCGTCTAAATACTGTTGAGCCTTAAATCTGTAGTAGCCCTGGTGCCCCCTGTGCATGCCAGGGTAACTTGTCGACCATTCCCTAATAATAACGAATAGCAAAATGCATCATCTTTAGCGATGTCAGTAGTTTGCCGGCCGCGAATGCGCCAAGATTGCAGATGGTTTTAAAGAATCACACTACGGCGAGATTTCCAGGCGTTTTGACTGACCTTTGAAGTGGACCTTGGACAGGTATTGGCGTAAGGTGTAGCCCTCGATGTGCTGCATGCCTGAGCACAACCCCGGCTGACCCTTGCATAGGTCCAGATGCATGTCATTGAGGGCGTTGGCGAAGGCCCACGTGGCGTCCCGAACGAAGTGCAGGTACTTCTGCTGTCTGTCGGACAAGGATGGCTTCACATTATGAGAATTACAAATATGCTCTCCTATTGACATTGAGTGGTCCAGTGGTACAATCGGTTTGCACTCGCACGTCTTCTGGTGCCTGGCGGAACATCCGCCTCTTAGAAAAGGTCTGACATTCAACACTCCGTGAAATCGATCAAAGAAATGGAATGAATCATATCTGGCATCAAGTATGAGAACCAAAATCATGCAACCAGTCGTTCTGATAATGAGTTAATGCGGATTTGATCACCACGGACAGCATGTCTCGAACGCATGAAGCCGTAATGCCGCTCAGAAGCCGTGCTCAAGGCTGTCGCAAGTTTTTTTTTTTTAAAATCTTGCTGAGTAATGATATGAATTCTGTTGACGGTGTCCGACATCTTAACACTCCCTCGAAGAACTTGAAAATCGTAAAACCTCGTTTCGACATGCGGAGTGATGACGCACATGTTTGGGGAGTTGTGGAAGCAACTTTTCATCACATGCATCGCAGCGTCGGTCTCCTTTCCAAATCCAAATAAGACGCTGATTATGAGAGCTTCCTCTCAACAAGAGAAGTTGCCGTTCTGATGAACAGGGTGCAACGAAGATCGCTGAACGTTGAGTCGGAGCGGAAAAGTTGAACAGAAGCAAAAAATTGGTGTACGTCGGATATTGCGTAACGGGTATAATTAAGAGATTTATGACGTAGGCGTGGTGTGGGTAGGTGTGGAGACACAGGTGTGGAGACGTGGTCATAGGCATATGCTCATATACTCATATGAGTGGAAATAAAGCCGACAGAACGGGCCTTTTTCCAAATGCTTGGCTTATTCCGTTGTTAACAGTCCTGACAAGGCCTCATGGGAAAATATGCTGGTTCATCTTTGGTCTTATAAATCCGCTATTAATATTCACTAATATAAGCATAGGCTATATCTCACTTATCTCAAGCAAAAATGGTTCTATGTGCTCAAAGGTCGTTGGAGCCCTGACTTACCGGACACACTGCTAGTTACGCATACATGTGCGCATATATATATATATATATATATATATATATATATATATATATATATATATATAGTTCGTCTATATATGGTGGTATGGGGATATGCATGCAACTGAATCCTTTTCTGCACGATGGCGCCGGCACTGCTGCTTGTCTTGAACGACGCTTGACGGTGAACAGGGAGCATGACACGTGACTTGGAACAATCCATGATAAATCGGCGGACATGATGACTGACGATGGCGCGCTGCCATTGACACTGCCGGGCAAATCACGGCCTGGACGTGACCTGCCGCCCGGCGCGTGGGGCATTAGAGGCCGTGAGGGCAGGCTCAGGTCTGTGGCAGTGGCGCTGCAGAAACTCGACGGCTTGAGAAGACCCGCCGAGTGTACGTCTGTCTAGCATGCATCTTCTACATCAGTGTTTTGTGTGGTACTAATAGTAACTAAATGAGTGACAGTAAATAACAGTACAACAGTGGAAGTGATAAATGCAGAAGCTTAGAATGGCAAGAGAAATTAAGTAACTATTGCCGGGAATGCAAAGAATGAAGTTTGATATTTTGACCACATAAATAAAAGGCACGCAATAAATCACGACCGAACAATTCTCATTCCCGTAGATGTGTCAATAACTCATTGAAACGAAAATATATTGAAGCATTAGTCGCCATTCTTCAGTACTGACAATCCAACGACACAGGCTTGAGTGAGGGTCGCACCACGAACCAGAAGCCTCGTGTCAAATAAGTCAAGGCTAAACTCGTGAATCAACTGGGCAGAATATGCAGTTTTATGACACGGAAGCTTCAAGCTGTCCCCGTGGCGTGTGTGTTATGTGTGTTACACGGGAGCCAGCCTGGCAGAGTTTACTGCACATCATGCACTGGAAAAATCAGACAATGAACAGCAATGTACCATTAGTTCTCATACCGTGACACCCGTTCAGACAAGCTGGACCTGATCGACTTGAGTCGTCTGACAGTGCACTGCAGGCCGTTCATTGTAGCAGTGTCAAACTTTCCAAGAAAGAGTCAACAACACTCGTTCTGGAATCACGCGATGCGGTCGTCCGGCCACTGGACATGTTGCTCTGACCTTGACCGTGGGAACATCCGCACTGGCAGTGCCGTCCAAGTTTTGCTAGGCCCAGGGTCAGGCCCAGGGAAGCACTGACACAAGTTGCCTTTATGGAAATTGCCGAAAAGTGCTTGGGTGCCAGTACTTAAGCAGCAACTACCGTTTAAATAGTCGAACATTGTTGATTTATATGAACTACAAGCATAGAGAATTAAGATATCGTTCTTGAGTTGCTGAAATCAGTAGATATCGATACGCTAATTTGTAAACAGCTCTAGGAGAATGGAGAACGAGGCATTCCCGAGATTCCTCGCTTTCATTTGTTCAAGTCTGGATCCATACCGTTTGCTCGAATGCCGTTGAAGCCAGCGTCCTTTCAAGGGTCACTTTGTGCGTGGACAGCAACGCCACCACAAAGACAGGCCGAATTGTGACAAGTGCGGAGGAGTCTTGATCTGCGCCTCAGCATACCAATCATGACACGCCGACCGTCGTATATCTTCCATCGGTCGAGAGATGTGACTTCTTATGTGGACGTCAATGCTGTAGACCTACAGCTTCGATCCGTGGTAATTTCTCTCGAACTTATACTGCACTGCCACTCGCCGTGAGTCAAGCCTGTTGTGCTAGTGCAGTCGCCTGGCCAGGTCGAATGTCAAATCGTCTCCCCATCACGCGATTGGGATCAAATTCCTCTGAATCACGAAGCATTTAGTTAAAACTTTTGGCTCAGAAAGGGGCTGCGACTAGATTGGCCCTTCTCTTGCCAATGTTCTTGCGCTAATACTATATATTAAACACCACCGGGTGCAGGTCTCCTGACAGGCTTCCGCTAAACTTCGGACGAAGCGGCCGACATTTGTGGGTATTACGGATGCAGTCGCTGCGCGGACCATCATCATCGGCTTGTGTGCTAGCATTCACACCAGCCATGTAGAGCGTTTCCGCCGCTGGAGGGCCGATGGGTGCCCATCCAGAAGCTTGTAGGCCGCTTTTTAGAACTTGCCAATGAGGTCCATCGCACTTTCCGCCAGTTTCTCCAATTGGTCCTCCTATTGAGCGGTCAGAAATTGATGCATGATGCGCCATGTGACTATTTTTTTACCGTCCGAGCCTTCATGGTGAAGAGGCCATTCTCTCTGTATATAGCCTGCTTTGCACATATGCGAAGCAGTCGCTGACGGCACTGAAGCTCATGCGATTTCGGAAATTTCTCCAAATATCACTAAAACCACGTTTGATGCTCTGAAACACGTTCGCCCATTTTGGATGCGGTTTAGTGTTCTGCCACCAATTTGTTTGCTGGCAGAATGTGGCGAAAGGTGGTAAATGTGATGGATGTTGGTCGCACTCAAACGATTTACACGGATTTACAAACTGTGGCGAGCAACAATCAATGTTTAGTCCGTGGTGACTTATTTTCGGGAACGGTATTTTTATTGACGAGCATTTAAAACCATACTGAATGGATGACTGGATCAACTGGATCGTTATCGTCGTCGTTGGAGCTTTACAACGCACTCAGCTGTTGGGGCCATGTGGCATACCCGACCTCTCGTCCTGGCAGGAAGGGCGAGCACCGCGGGGTATTGAGCCCCGTACTTCTGGTTTCACAGACGAGCAGTGGTTAACGCAAACGCGTGGTGCCGCGAGTAACCACTCCACTACCGGCACCCTCGAAGTGGATCTTTAAAAATGCATCAAACAAACCGGAGATTTCGAAAATTAGAGCAGCCTGGCAAACATTAATTCAATGTGTATCCACACATCGGCATCGTCATCAACAGCAACAGAAGCAGAAGCAGCAGCAGAAATAGAGGTACTAGTATTGTCATCATTATCATCATCAGCAGCAGCACCACCACCACCACCACTACCACCAACACCACTATCACCATCATCATAAGCAGTAGCATCATCATCTTTCTTCTTCCATTCGATTTCACTTTAATTTTTAACTTCAGCGCCCCTCATCTTCCCACATACCTAAGGAACCGTCGCCTTTAGTCGGCGGCTCATTTGAAGCATGCAGGTTTTCCAGCTAACTTGACCGCAAGATTGGCGATTTTTCCGTCAGCATGCTGGGCCGCTCGCCATCTGGCAGCCCTGTTAGTTGCGTACCTGTACCCGCTCTGCTCGGTCAGACGCAGCGTAGGGTCGCACGCGGGGCGGTCGGCCCGGTTCGCTGCTACCTCGCCGGCTGCCCTGCCGTCTGCCCCGCCGGCTGCCCCGGGCAGCGCGCAGGCGAACGTGTCCTCCCAGAACTCGGCCAGCCACGGGTTGCGCGCCAGTGGGAGAGCCAGCGGGTCCAGGCCGGCCATGTAGTCATCGAATCCGCTGAGGTTCTCCACCAGCGGCTGCACCGATATCGTGCCCTGGAACGGTCGAGAGAGGTCAACGGCCGGGCGGCGGGAGGTCAGGGTGAGGCCGGGCATGCTTTGGCATCGTTTGCCTTCAGTTGGAGGCGACGCCCCTCGCTCCTCGCGTTGAAATATCGGCCGTGGGTGCGACGCGCTACCATGGACGGTCAGTTTATTCAAACAGCGCCACGTACATTCCGCGATATATTGTCAAACTGCATTGTGCGCTATCTGAAATTATCCATTAAAGTCTTGGTGCCTGTGTATGGTATTATCATGAGGTGATCCATCATCTACAATCATTTATGATGGTCTGCTTTAAGAGGGCCCTTTCCGCGATGTGTGACAAAGTGGCGGCGCACGGCGCGACGGTCAAATAAGCGTCACTCTCCGAAGCGACATCCCTTATGACGTCATTCGTGACATTCTCACACGACTCTTCGTCCAACATGGTGCGTTCGGCAATAGTGTGATCGGTGTTCCTCTCAAATCACAAACACTGTAACTTCTGACAGCTCCGACAACTGAGGTCAGGGTTTCAAAAACAAATTCACGACCGAAGATACCGAGAGAGCGTTGTTAAAATATCAAAGATGAAGCTGTCTGACGCACAAGCTAATCTGACGCAGCATCTGCCAGTTCGACGACGTCACGTGATCGGTTAAACGAAATGCTATCTCTCCAGACGGAAGTTCATGGCTGCCAGAAACGCATCGGAGAGGCCGTTTGGAGCGGACCGGACCAGCTAGTGACGTCATGGGGACAATATGTTGTTGATGCAAGCCAATCACTGTCCGCATTGTGTATTGGGGTCGGAGTCATTCCAATCTGCTGCAGCTCAACCACGTGCGGTTTAGTTCTTGTAGCTATGTCATAAGTAAGATGAAGGTTTGAATGTGGTATGAATGCGTTTCTTAATACACACTCAGGTGGTGGCAATTCGCCCCCCCCCCCACCCCAAAGTCATTCCAGAATGGATTCTGAACGGCACGGAGCAGCCACCTAAAACTTTGTGTAGCTATATGCAATTGAGTAGCCAATATTTTGGCATAAAACAATTAGATCTACCTTGTTAGGTCACTAACCTATGGCAGACCAAAGCTAGGTCGTGGCTGTCAGCAAAAGGAGTTCCTAAGGACCCGTTCAATCTTTTAGGACAGCAGAGTGTTAAATGAAGCCATGCATCCTTAAGATGCATGGCTTGAGATGATAAGATGCATCCTTAATTCTTAAAAACCGGAAAATTGAATTTAGGATTATAATGGGTTCATTGACATTGGGCCAGGTATGGAGGTCAGACCGAGGTCAAAGCTACACTGCTCTTTTATCAGACACCTTGTTTTATGGGACAGTTTGAACGCTCAGTTCGACTTTCTTGACCATAGGAACAACAACAGAGATCTAATGTGAACTTCATGTGAGCCAAAGGAGGGCATTGGCCCAACATGACCCCAATCGCCTTTTTGTTTCAGGAATGCACCGTTTGGCCTTGTCCTTGACGGTTCGTTGCATTCAAATATCAAAACAATTCCGAACATTTTTGGTCACCTTGACATTCTCAATGTCAAATAATTTCATTGATCTAAACTGAGCACCAGCGATATTTCGCTTAGAAGAGTGCATCATTGTCTGCGCATCGACGGACTTAAATCACCCGTGTTGCGCAAACGTCTCGACATTCTTTGTTATCACTCTTGCTAGCCTGTCATTACATCACGTCAACACGCCGCACACAAATCGGTCGTAAATGCATGAGTGCTTTCCATGAGACAGACGTGTCTTGTAGACGCCACTACTCTTTTGAGATGTGTATAGTGTCGTAAGAATGATCCCGCTGAATTATTGATGGCTGTCAAATCCTCGCCATGTTCTGAAGACCACATGGTTGGCGCGTAGGGGTGCGTACTTCAAGGTTTTATAGCAAATGATTTCGTCGATATTCAAAATTGATGATATTGTAAAACTTCCTTCCGATTGTTCAGGGAAGAAGGCGCCACATTTCAGCGGTCCGGTCAGCGAGTCGACACCTGCCGATGTACCGGACATGTATGCGGGGGCCGAACGGCTGGTGCGGCCGGTTGTGTTCGCGTGCCGACTAATCACGCCCACCATCACTCGGACGCCCCCCAGAGCACACTTCCGGCAGCCGGTACCGCCCCCGCCGGGGAAACCCGATCGCCGCGTCCGCCGCCTCGGGGGCCCGAGTGACGCCATCGACGGCGGGTGACGTCATACCTCGATGACGTCCTCGACGCCGTGGACGACGGTTTCGCGGGAGGACCAGGCGTCGGAGCCGATCCAGACGAGGGTCGTGAGTGACGTCCAGCTGCTTGGCCCGCCGCATCAGCTCCCCTGTGGTCATCTTGTCCGCGAACACCACCACCACTGCAGAGGAACCGGGGCGTGAGCGTGAGCGGAGCCCGCGGCTGTCTCACGCAGGCCGTTCGTGCATAGTCGGCACTTTAAAATGAGTGCTGGCAGTGAACAGAGCGTGAGCGTGATCTCTAATCGCCGTGTATAAGTGGTCCCAGCTGTGAGCATTGTATGTCTCGGCGCAGCGTTTCCTTCTAACCACGCCTAGCACCGATCGATGGCCCATTCTCTAAACACGCCTAGCACCTTGGGACCATGAACGGACCTTGGAACCCATAATACGCCAAGGGTTTCTCAAGACACAAACATTGTGCCGTTGTTTAATTAAAGCACCGTCTTCAAGCACATGCGTGGTATTGAAGCGCGCAGCAAACCAACCCTGCCTCATGAGCCACAGCCCCTGCGGCAGCCTGCCTGGCAAGGCATGTGACTGACGGAGAGAATCGCGCACCTCCAGCTTAGGTATGCGCCGTGGGCTTTCCAGAAGCAAAGGTTTTCCTAGAAACAACAGAAATAATACAAATATGAGGTACGCTATTTGCTGGCTGCACCAGAGTAGATCGATGGCTCATTATTGCCGCCAAGAAACTCGTTCAGTTATATGTATTCGGCTTCAGGTTTCCTATGTTAAGTGCGTTTGGGATCAATATTGTGCATATAGATGAGATAGTACTGTTAGCCTTATTCCTTGTAAAATAACTGGAAAAAGGAGAAATAGATGCCTTGATATTTCGTCCACATGTCTTTATGGAAACAAAGATGCGTAGTAAATTCCAAAATCAAAGTGACACAGGACGATCCAGACAGGAACATGAGAACCCATTCTTATAAGAAGACGGCGACCAGACCTAAAAATGTATGGTTCATCATGGACGATTGTGCAAATGTGATAAGTGCCTTACTGCATGGTGCATGTCAGCCTAAAATCATGTACACGGGTGAGAGATGCCTGGTGTGTGATGCATAACGCCCGTTTCATTCAAATCGTATGCATGCATAAGCGATGCGTGACGTGTGATGCCCGTTTACTTAAAATTGTTGGCATGCATGAATGTTGCGTGATGCACGGTGCCTGTGTATTTCAACTCGTTTGCAATGACACGTATTTTCACGCATTTGAATCCTTAGTTGGATATATACTGTATCGTGTTCATGGCTGGCAAGTGCTCCTCGTTCAAGCCTATAAATGTTGGTGGTTTGTAAATTGTGGTTTGCTGTTAAAAATACTGAACAGTCGATACCTTAGTCTCGATAAGGGCATGTAGCCAAAACAGCAATACATCTATTTCTCCTCTCTCCCGGCTGCTCTACGAGGAATAAGACTAACAATACCGTTTCAGCTTCAGATTTCCCTTGCATGCAGCATCAATGTCCTCATGTTCATCGACCAGCTCACGGGTCATTTATATCTGAGCCGAACCTGCTCGACGGGACCATGAGGCCTGTCACATAACGAGACAGCAGCTAAAGCCGATCAGCTCGCTGCGCGCGACAGCGTATCGCGTCCCTGGGGGAGGGGGGGCAGGCATCGCTAGCAAGAGCATCGCTCGCCTGTAGCTCACCATCGGGACCGTCGCACGGATCCTATAATGCAGTTAAACAGTCTGGCAACGCAGTTAACATTCCTGGAACTTGGCAAGCGCAACGCTTCTGATAGTTGCCAGCCTCCTCATGTCGGAGATTTTGCAGACGTGGTGCACATGAACAGAGAAACGCCACCAAGACATCCAACGTTTAAGTTGCCAAACATTTGAAAACTAGCCATTCTGCAAAATCGGCCGGCTATTCTTTGTGTGCTGCCTGTGCAGCTAATCTGACCGCGCTGATGATCTGACTGTGTGGCTAATCTGACTGTGTGGATAATCTAACTGCGCGCTTATCTGACTGTGCGGCTAATATGACTGTGCAGCTGATCTGACTGTGTGGCTAATCTGACTGTGCGGATAATCTAACTGTGCGGCTTCTGACCGTGCTGCTAATTCTACTGCGCGGCTTATCTCACTGTGCGGCTAATATGACTGTGCGACTAATCTGACTGTGCGGCTAATCTAACTGTGCGGCTAATCTGTCTGTGCGGCTAATTGACTGTGCGGATAATCTAACTGTGCGGCTTATCTGACTGTACTGCTTATTCTGCTGTGCGCTTATCTCACTGTGCGGCTAATGTGACTGTGCGGCTAATCTGACTGTGCGGCGTGGGCGGCAGTCTCGCCGCCGAGAGACCATGAGCAGCCTGTTATCGCCGAAGGCACCTCCATATTCGGGCCGTTATCTCCGGTGCCTCCGCTGAGCGTGGGCAGCTATCTCGCAATGGCTGTTATTCGTGCGTATGGCACGCGGCCTCGTTGGTCGATGACTGAGGACCCGCGAAATGCTTTGCTGTGCTCACGGACGGAGAACCAAGCTGGGGAACGGAGAGAAAGTTGCCGTCCAAAGAACGGCAGCTAGCCAAAGCCCAAGGTCGCGTTTCTCGTCGGAGTTGGCCCATTATATCCTTACGTCCTAGAAAAACCTTTAATTGTTTAACTCCTTTTGGCTAACGTCGTGGTATTATCCCTACAGTTTTTACCCCCGTGCATCGCCTTTAGCTCGTGTTCACGGTCTCAGAGGTACAAGGTGCTCCGACACCGCCAATGAGCTCTCGAGATAGTGTGAGTCTCAAACACCGTTTTGAATGACGAACCATTGCGTACATGCAAATGCAGTAAGTGTAACTTGCGATAAGTAAACAACAATGCAGGTGTACGTGTTAGCTTAATAGCGTCACACAAACATCGTTCCAAAAAAGGCCTAACATCGAACAAATCATACATCTCTCGGGCCTATGTTATACTTTCCTCAAGCACACGGCGTTCGCCACGGGTGGAGCTTTATATAGCGTTGGGGCAGCCCCCGACCCCTCCCATCCCATGCTCGTCCCCACCCTTCAAGACTTGGACGGTGACATCCACCAAAAAGTCACCAAAGATCCTCAAAACAATTAACACCAGCAAAATCTTCATGTTTTGGGGAATGAGCTTCATTAATAGCG